GAAATTATTTCTGATTTCATTTTTTCCAGATCCTCTTTTGTTGCCAAGCAGTGGGTCCAGGTGATTGAGTATCAGAGTGTTCCATCTCATTTCCCTTTGAGGTTGCTGTAGGTGATCTGGAAGTCTGGTTTTGAGACTTATTTAGGTGTCTTCTCATTTCGACCTGGGGGGCGGGTGCTATTGGCACCCTTGCGGCTCACGCCCTCTGACCTGGGAGAGGTGGGACAGTGGCTCAGTTGTCCCTTCCTCTGGGCTGGCAATGGCGGCATGGACAGCGGCCTGGAAGCCCCTTTCTCTAAGCCAGGATTGGTGGGATGGCAGCTCAGATGCCCCTTCCTCTGGGCCAGGATCAGCAGGACGGACCTCCTGTTATTTTATTTTATTTTATTTTATTTTAATTTAATTTAATTTAATTTAATTTAATTTTATGTTTTGGTACCGGGGATCGAACTCAGGTCCTTGTGCTTGCGCAGCAGGCGGTGAAACCACTGAGCTAAATCCCCGGCCCTCCTGTTATTTTAATAATTCGTTTCATTGCTTCTTCAAGCCAGGCAGTGAGTATAATCTGTATCTTTGCAAAGTTCTCCTTCCTGATAATTGGAGTGATAACATAAGGCCATGTCTGACATTGGGAAGCAGTCTGTTTAAAATTTTCTATTCATGGGCCTGGGGATTTAGCTCAGTGGTACTGCACCTGTCTTGCAAGCACAAGGTCCTGAGTTTGATCCCCAGTGCCAAAAAAATTTTTTTTCTGTTCAGGCCTGGCTCTTGTGGTCTAGGTCCATAATTCTAGCACTCCCAGAGGGTGAGCCAGGAAGATTATAAGTATGAGCCCAGCCCTGGTAGCTTAGCAAGACTCTGTCTTTAAAAACAGCTGGTGAAGGGCCGGGGATTTAGCTCAGGGGTTCTGGCGCCTGCCACGCAAGCGCAAGGTCCTGAATTCGATCCCCGGTATGAAAAAGAAATGAAAACTAACCAAAAAAACCAGCCGCTGGGGATGTTGTTCAAGTGTGAAGACCCTGGATTCAGTTCTTTCAATCCCCAGTAGCACCAAAATAAATAAATTTCTATTCAAGGACGTTCTTTCCATTCATACCGTTTACATCTGGTCTTCAAAAACAAGTCTGCATTGTTCAATAGGCTTGGTTGTGTAACTTCACAACTTGAAGTTAGTCATTTTATAAAGGTTACCTCTCTACCTGAACAGTGACATCTTAATGAACTGTTAAGTTAGAGAAAAGTGACTCCTCCCTTCGAGAAGCTATGTTGTGGATTCCTGAAGTTTTCTTTAAAATATTTAACCCTTTTAGGTATATTGTTTGGATCAGATAGTGTTGTTTTTGTGTTTTCAGATTTGTATTGCTGAGAAGTTCTTAGGCCTGTAGTTGAAATTATTTTTCTAGTTCCATTCATTCTTCCCTCCCTTCCTATCTGAGCCAATTATCTACAGCAATGTTTGGGTTGTATTCTCTTTGCCATTAAAAGGAAACTTTATGTGTATATGTGTTTTAACTTTTCATGGTTAAATACCTAGGAGTGGAAACTGCCCATTTTCAGAAGTTGTTGTAATGTTCTATAGTCCCATCAGCAGTTTCTCCACATTCTGGACAATCCTTTTTCGTTTTTCTTTTTTTTGGTTCCAGGAATTTATCTCAAGAACCTTGCGCTTACAAGGCAGGTGGGAGCACCACTGATCTAAATCCCCGACCCCATTCTGGACAATCTTGATCTGGTCATTCTTTTTAATTTTAGCCATCCTAATAGGTGTATAGTAGTATCATTATGGTTTTAATTTCACTATTTATTAATGAAATGAGCATCTTTTCACACTTTTTTGCCATCTGCATTACATTCTTTGGTGATGTGTCTTCAAATTTTTGCTTAATTAAAAAATTGGGCTGTTATTGAGTTTTAAATATTAAGAACTTTGAATGTCCAGAGTTCTTTATATATTCTGGATACCAGTCCTTTATCTGTTTCATCAGATACATGCTTTGCAAATATTTTCTGTCTGTGTAGCTGTCTTTTCATTCTAACAGTACCTTTTGGAGAAAAGTTATTAGTCTGTTTTGAGATAGGCTCTTATTTTGTAGCCTAGGCTGGCCCTGAATTTGGAATCTTCTTATCCCCGAGGTTTCCCAAGTGCTGGGAATACAGGTATGCACCACCATGTCCAGTAGTTGTTAGTTTTGTGTGTGTGTGTGTTTTTTTTTTTTCTGGTACCAGGGATCGAAATTGGGACCTTGCGCTTGCGAGGCAGGCGCTGGAACCACTGAGCTAAATCCCCGGCCCTGGTAGTTGTTAGTTTTGATGCAGTCCATTTGGTGTTATATTAGACATGTTTGCCTAATTTCATGTCATAAAGTGTTTCTGGTGTTTTATTCTGGGAGTTTTGTGGTTCTAACTCATACAGGATAAATTTTGTTTATACTGTGAGGTAAGGATAAAATTACTTTTTATTTTTGGTAGTTGTACCAGAACCATTTGTTGAAAAGACTATCTTATATCCACAGAATTGCCTTTGCACTTTTGTCAAAAATGAATGGTCTATAAATATGTGTAGATCCCCTCTGGACAGTTCGTCTCATTGATCTTCCCATATACCAGTATTATGCTCTTCTGATTACTGTTAGCTTTATTACAAGTCTAAAAATCAGATATTGAAGCCAGATGGGTGGCATATGCCTGTAATCCCAGCACCTGGGAGGCTGAGACAGGAGGATTGCCATGAGTTCGAGGCCAGCCTGTGCTGTAGAGTGAGCTCAAGGCCAGCCTGAACTACAAAGTGAGACCCTGCTTCCAAAAAAAAAAAAAAATTAGATATCAGTAGTCCTGAAACTTTGTTATTTTTCACAGCTGCTTTGGCTTTTTTATGGCATTTGTATTTGCATAGAAGTTTCAGAATAGACTAGTCAATTTCTTAAACTATGTCCTGCTGGAATTTTGATTGGGATAGGTTTGAATCCATAGATTAATTTACTGTTTAAGTTGTCTTTAATTTATCTCAGCGTGTTTTATAATTTTTAGTTTGTTTTTAATTTTGTCAGACTTATCCCTACATAATTTATGTTTTTTGTTATTATTGTAAACAATGTTGTTATTAAAACTTAACTCTCCAACCAGGTCTTGTCTAATAAGCATGTGGCTCCTGATCATCTGTTGCAAATCTGCCAGCGCATCGGTCCTATACTGGATAAAGAAATTCCACCCAGTATTTCAAGAGTCACTTCTTTACTTGGTGCAGGAAGACAGTCTTTGCTACGTACTGCAAAAGGTACCTTAATTTGAAGAAGTGTTCTGCTTTGTATTAATAATTTCATAATTATTATAATTGTGAAGTAATGTAAGCGTTGTGGAAGAAAGGTGATATGTAACTATAAATCATGCTGTGGACTATAAAATTTTCTGCATTTAGCATAGAACATTGAATTTTATTACTTAAGTGTTTAATGGGTCCTTCTGCATTTAAAAAATTGATAAAGATACAGATGTTAAGCTAAAAGCTTGAATTTATTCTGAGATGTGTTTGAGGTTTTAATGTGAGTTCTTTCCATTTTGTAGCTCACTCATAACTTCACTGAATGTAATTGTATGTGTCTAATAAACTCTTTAAATGCTAGAAGTATTTCTTTTGATATTTAGATTCTGAAAGCCCTTTGTTATAAGGGAGAAGTGATTTTCTAAATTTGGTAGCAGTTTGAAAACAAGCACCAAAAATGTAAAGTTGCATGGTTCTTTTTTCACTAATTTTTTTTGCACAGTTATGTCCTAGTGAAATGTTTGAAATTGCTATTCTTTTTCTGTTAGCTTGGTATAAATGACTTAGACTAAGTATATGTATGTGATATATGATGTATGTGTACACCTGTAGCTAAACTGCTAATGGGCAAGGTTGTTGGTTCTTCTGATCCTGAGCATACATCACGTCCATCCTGTGATTATTTTTTGTGAAGAGCTGTTGCTGATGGGATGCTTCCTCTCAGATGTATGCACCAGCAGTGTAAAGCTCTTCTCAGAAACAAGAGTCCTCCTTGGGTCCATGCCAGACTGATCTGTCGGCTTCAGTTGTTTTTTAGGGCTCATAGCTGAGCCACACTGGCTCTAATCAGGAAAACTATTCTGCGTCCCATTTACTTTTAATTACTATATTGTAGGTTGTTACAGTAGTTATTTGGGTAGCTTGTTTTCCTTTGTTTTCTGTGTCACGCTCCATGTTGTTGTTCTGTGATGAGTGCCCACTTTAGAACTGGTAGAGGTTAGATGACACTTCAGCAAATTGCCCTAGGAATAGGGCCATGTTTCTCTGCTTGTTTTGTACTAGTGCCATGAGAGAATGCCTTGTAACTGCTCTTTGGTCATGAGAGTCGTAATGAATCCATTCATGTAAAGCATAATATGCCTGTTAGTTTGGGGCACCCGAGGCTCAGTGGAGGTGTAGAATGTTGCCTTCCCTTCCTTGGTCTTTCAGTTGTGAAGAAGCTAATTTCTAGCACAGCATGACTGCTCATGATGTGTATTGTGCTGCTGTCTCCTGTAGAGGAGGGCAGAAGTTTGCTCTTTTGTGCATTTGCTTGTAAGTCAAGGGGGGATGGGACTTTGGAATTAGTGCTCAGACTCACAGATCTACATATGTGCTCTTCTGTAAAGGATTATCTGAGATCCTAAAACAAGGGGAAAGCTGTTTAAATTGTCAGTACTTCCTAAGGAGACGAAGGTTATAGCAGTATTGGCTAAATTAATTAAAATGGAACAAGTTAATTAAGAGGATTTTCATATAAATCAATTAAAAATTTCCTCATGAAACTTTCCATTTTTAAAAAGCTGGATCAGTTGTGACTAAGACCTTTCATTTTTGATATTGTATGGTATAATTCTGCATTGAAAAATGAATACTTATTTGCCATTAAATGGGACTTGGAGAAAAAGATGTGGTTTTATGGTCCGTCTTTAATCATTCACAGTGGATCTCTTTAAAGGTCCTGGTACCTTTGAGCCTCAGTTACCTCACTTATAAATTGGCAAAAGCACCTACCTCACAGGGTTGTTGTGAGGATTCAATGAGATAATGTATGTGGAAAGCACTTTGTGAATTGTAAAGTGCTATGCAAATGTTAGTTGTTGTTGCTGCTGTATCTGAGCTGTCTTAAGTTTTATTTTTTTATTTTTTCTTCAGAAATAGTCTAATAAACCTCCAGGGCTTTTCTGTTAAAGTATATTAGTTGGTAAAACTTTGAATAAACAGTTTTATTACAATATACGTAAGTATTCTATAAAAATCTTTCTTGGGGTTAACTTTCAAGATTTTATGTGTATCTAAAATTCATTTTAAAGACTGCAGGCACACAGTGTGGAAGGGCTCTGCCTTTGCTGCTCTTCACAGAGGAAGACCTCCTGAAATGCCTGTGAATTATGGTTTCCCACCAAATCTCGGTGAGTGAGGCTGGCCCTGGAGATGCCAGAAATGATTTTTAAAATTTGACAAAATTTATAAATTGTGCATTAAACTTTAAAAGGTTATACTTGGTAGTGTTGTTCAAGTAATAATAAGTATCAAATTTCAAATGCATTGTTTTCTTAAAATAATTACAAATAAAATTAATGAAAAGTCTTAATTATAGTAAGAAATGTATGTTATTGATTATTGTAGAATAGAATTGGAAAGAAACATGTCCTTAGAATTTCTGAAGCAGATTTTTTTGACCCTTCAGAAATTATTTTGGAATTTTTCTTAGTTTTTACATAGTGGCTTTCCCTTAACCATTTTCATTGTTTTTATTTCCTAGTGGAGATACATCGAGGAAAGCAACTCACAGGGTGTTCCACTTTTAGCACAGCATTTCCAGGAGCTATGTATCAGCACATAAAAATGCACAGGAGGATTCTTGGACATCTGTCTGCCGTTTACTGTGTAGCCTTTGATAGGACAGGACATAGAATCTTCACAGTGAGTTAGCATTTTAAACTCCATTTGATGCCATTGGAGACTTAGTGTGCTTCAGGAATCATCTAGGAAAGCTTATAAAATGGAGAGATGTTGTGAGATTCTGTGAGATTTTGGCTGAGAGTAAGTCTTATATGGGCCCATAAATTTGTATTTTTAATAGTCATGACTCTACACTGTTTTTTTGGTAAATGGGATCGAACTCAGGACCTTGCACTTGGGAGGCAGGTGCTGGAAACCACTGAGCTAAATCCCTGGTCCCTAAGCACTGTTAAAGATGCCTTCAAATAGCGCATGCCTACCACTTCTTTTCTAGCGCATTGAAGAGATACTTAATTACTAAGTATGTGTTTACAACAACAAAACAAAAACAAAAAACCCACATAAAATCTCCAGACCACTGGAAGTAACTTGTACTTCTATAGATAAATTGCTGATCCAAGAAAATGGACTGTAAAATAACCTGTGTTGAAGTAGTTATTAGAAAACTATATGAAAATATTTGGAATTTAACCTTTTTAGTGTTTTTAAGAGAAAATTAGGATGATGAAAGATTTAACTTTGATTTTTGCAGTACATACTCAGCTGTGTGCTGACTGGTATTATAAAGTTTAAAAAATATTTTATTGGTACATTTTAGGTGTACAGTATAATGATACTCATTATTGAAAATTTGCCCCTTTACATAATCTCTCTTGGTTCTTATTTTTTCCCCATTTCCCTGCCCTCCCTTTAACTCCTCCATCCCTCCCAATTTACAAAGACTTTGTTCCCATTTTTCCATTTCCTCATATTAATTCCATTCCCTTCCTTACTTTCCCCTACTCCTCCCACTTCCCCTTCCCCTTTGCCCCTTTTCTTCCTATTTCACATTATCTATTATCTGGTATTATAACTTTGAGACTGTTGTTTTGTTATTTGACATGAGAGTGCTTTCCTCACCATTTTTGTTGTTGTTTTTGGGATTTCCACTTAGTTGTGTTTTTTTGGAAATTTATTGACAAATTTCTGTCAAAGACTGAACATCAGTCTTTTTATTTTGGTACCTGGGCTCGAACTCAGCACCTTGCACTTTTGAGGCAGGCGGCAGAACCACTGAGCTAAATCTCCAGCCCCCTTAGTTTTGTTTTTGACACACTATGAATACTTAACACTCATTTGGCATAGTGAGCTAGACTTTACATTTCACCTGTGGGTGAAATGATACAGGAACTTTGAGTTGGGCTTATTTTGGTGGAGAATTTTATGGAAAATAGTACTTATAATGTGATCTGATCCATAGAAATGATACTTTAGGTATCTTTATGTAGATTTTGTTTGAAGAGAAATACTGTGCTGAGTATTTTGTAGTTGGAAAGGGGAGGGAGCTGGGGATTTAGCTCAGTGGTTTTGCCTCCTGCCGCGCAAGTGCAAGGACCACAGTTGGATCCCCATACCAAAAAAAAAAGAAAGGGGAGAGAGCTGTAGATAGGTTAATTTGGGTGATATGTAAAAGGCATTCTTTTAGGTGATTTAAAAGATTTTGCTGTACTGATTTTTATATTTGGATGTATTTTTTTCTTAGGGTTCAGATGATTGTTTGGTAAAGATTTGGTCAACACATAATGGCCGCCTATTATCGACACTAAGAGGTCATTCTGCAGAAATTTCCGATATGGCAGTGAACTATGAGAACACATTGATTGCTGCGGGGAGCTGTGATAAAATCATTCGAGTATGGTGCTTGAGAACTTGTGCCCCAGTTGCTGTGCTCCAAGGACACACAGGATCGATTACATCTCTGCAGGTAAACTTTGAGCTTAGTGGACACCTGTGTATATTATTGCCTTTTCCTTTAGAACTCTTTATTTTCTCTTCGGAATTGAGAAATAAGTAAAGTGCTTAATAGTTACATGGTCTGTTTTAAATCTAGGGAATCAAGAGAAAATAAAATCATTTATATTTCTACAAACTGTGGAAGGTAATAAATATCCAATGTAGAAGAGCTTTACCCGAATGTTTCTCAATGATTTTTTGCTTCTTTGAAATTAATTGTTGAATCAGATGAATGTCAGTTACAAACTGGTCATAGGTTATTTTTCTCTTTAAAACTTGGGGATTTTAGCTGGGTGTGGTAGTGCACACCTGTAATCCCAGCACTTGGAGGCTGAGGCAGGAGGATTGGCAGGACTTCGAGGCCAGCCTGGCCTCATAGTGGGTTCAAAGCCATCCTGAGCTAGGGAG